GCTCCTTGCTCCGTGGCCGCTGCCGGTCGCTCAGCGACGTGCGCGTCCGCGGGCCGGTCCCACCACACGTCGTGGATGAGCCGGATCAGGTGGCTTCTGGCAGCTCCATGGACAGCTTCTCCCGGGGCTCGCTCAAGATCAGCTGGAACCCGTGGCGACACGGGCTGTCGTCGGTGGACAGTCTGCCCCTAGATGAGCTGCCCAGTACGGTGCAACTACTGCCAGCCCCAGCCACTGCAGCTGCTCCCAGCCGGCCCATAGAACCCCGGAGTGCGGTCCAGCCTTCCTGCAAGCCAGGGGACTCTCGCAGCGCCTCCAGTGACACCATTGAACTCTGAGCCGACCCCACACTGTTGCAGGACCAGCCTTCAGAGACCATATGGCATGGCCGACTGGGACAGTTGAGCCCTTAAAAAACTGGCATCCTGGGGCCTGAACCTGATTGCAGCCCCTGGAAGCAGCCGGGAGTGTCCCCAACCCCCACCCGCGTTTTTTGTTTTTTAAATATCTCTATTTTTTTCCAGCAGGTATTTTGCACAGAGGCTGTGATTTATATGGAATACAGGGTGGACATGCATGGATTTAGGTATGGGGAATGGGGTCCAGGTGCCCCAAACACCCCTCCAGACTCCCCATTGCGGAAGGATGAGGCTCGCTTGTCTAGATTGAATGTCCTCTTTGTGCCAAAGAAATAAACCTTTAGGACTTGGCTCATGCCTCCCTCTGGCCATGCCAGGATCCTGTTCAGAGAAGAGTAGGAGGGCCCACCCTCCAGTAATTCCATGTCCAGTATGTGGGACAGGGGGACTTTCAAAGGAAAGGGCACTGGACCCTTAGCAGCTTTAGAAATAAGGCTATCAATATTTTATTGAACATCTATTTGTTGTACACTGTCTTCAGCTCTTTACATTCACCACCTTATTTCTCATAATAAGCCTGAGTGGAAAGCATTATCAAGCCCATTTTATAAACGAGAAGAGTAAGGTTCAGAGACAAAAGTCATTTTGTCCAGGGTCCTTTGGCCCAAATAAGAGCTGATACTGAACCCAGAAAGTTCCATCCCTGAAGCTGGGTCCTCCATCCCCTTCTCCTAACACAACTTCAGGGCCAAGCCTCTCCTCCTTTTACTCTTCCATCAGGGCAGCCCTCAATTTCCCAGGGTTTTAGAAAAATTTCCCAAGGGTCAGGGCCTCTCAGTAGCTTAGGCCAACCATGGGAGTGGGAGGGCAGGCAGTAAAACTGAAGCTTCTCCGTTTTCCAAGACCTTTCTTTATTTCCTGAGATGAATAAATAAATCAGTGGCTGAGGGGTGAGGGGTGAGGGATGGGGGAGGTGAATACGGAACAGGAGCTGGCAGCATGCAGCTGGCAGGAGGAGGCTATGATGGACTCACCCCTGCAGGAGCCCACCCCCTCATCCTGGACAGGGGCCAAAGCTCACTAGCAGCCACCATAAGGAGACACTTAAAATCCACACACATTATGAAGCCTGCCCAGTCTCCTCAAGGCCAAGATCCCATGGCTTCCATTTTTAGGGCTCCTTCCGCATCCCAGGGGCCTCACCTGCCCAGGTCTGGGTGCCTAGGCTGCTCCGTAGGCGGGTAGGGGGTACTTAGCCTACTCTCAGAAATAAAGCCAGCCGCCTTGAGTGTCCAGGCAGGAGAGAGGCCTGACTTCTAGAGGCAGCCTGGTGGGAGGAGATCCTGCAGGCATGGCAGAGATTATCTGCCCTTGATGAAGCCTTCCAGCACACGGTCACTGCGCTCTGACAACCAGTAGCCAGTCATGGCCGCCACAGCCCCAATGAAGATGGCGGTAAAGACCAAATCACCCTTGGCAGCCAGCGTGGCCAGTGCACAGATGATGACACCGAAGAACATCTGCTGCAGCACCACCAGCTCATCCTCTGTCATCTCTGAGAAGAAGCCCGCTGACTCTGCGAGGAATAAGAAGCACCTGTCACTCCTCCCCCATTCTTAAGAGTCTCCCACGCACCCAATCATCGCTGCCACCTGCCTGCTAGGCATGCCAGCACGTGATGTCATTTACTGCTGAGAACGACTCTAGAGGGGCAGTTATTATCCCTGTCTCACTGAACGGGAAACGGAGGCTCAGAGAGGTAGAGGTTTGCCCAAGGCCACGTGGTGAGCAGGTTGTGACAGCACGTGCTATGTGTACTAGCCCAGCTCCGGAGCCAGACTGCCAGGATTCAACACCCAGCTCTGCGACCTGCTTGCTGTGTGGCCCTGGGCAAGCTGCTTCATATCTCTGCATCCTAATTTCCACTATGGGGATGAGAAAGATACCTACAGCGTTGGATTTGTTTTAGTGGTAAAGTAAGTTAATACATGCAACATGCTTGGAACAGTGTCTGACATATGGCAAGAGTTGTGGAAGTGATCACTACTGTATCATTGTGGCTGTCCATCCCATCACACCATGGCCTACAATAGCTCTCAGAGGGCCAGGGCTAGGACTGGTCCCATTGGACAGATGAGGAAAGAGGCTAGGGGAGGCAGAGTAATTTGATGCCAAGTCCTATTTTCTTTCTACCCCAGGGAGGTGTGAGGCCACCAAAAGCTACTCAAGAGAAGATGTAGGCTTCAGGTCTCAATGCAGCCTCGCAGGGGCTGAGGGGTTGTAAGTGCTTGGAGAACGGGTTTGGTGGGGGCCAGGTTGGAACTCACCTGGGATCTGCTCCTTCACACAGATGCCCTCAATCTGTTTGTAGCCCTCAGCACAGACACAACGGTAACTGCCCTCGGTGTTCTCACATTGCTCGTTCTCTCCGGGACACACCTCTGTCTCACACTCGTCCACATCTTGAGGGAGGGCAAAGAGGGATCAGAGCCCTGACTTCCAGGGTCCCACACGCAGCACCCCGACCCTGCCTCGTTCACATTCCGGCACTCCCTTCTGCCCTTACCCAGGTAACATTCACCCTTCCCCTACCCTGTTCACATTCCAGCCCCTCTCAATTCATGGTGGCAAGGCACTCCAAGGTACCTGGGCCCCACTGGCTGGAGACTCACCGAGACACTTGGAGCCCACCTGCTGGTAGCCAGGGCTACACTTCTTACAGCGGCCTGGCCCTGCCCCCATGCAGCCCAGGCAGGCCTTGGCACAGTCTGGAGAAGAGAGAGGAGAGAGAAGGTTAAGAGCTGCCCCTAAATCCAAGGGGTTCTGGTGCCAGAGAAGGCAGAAGTTTGGGGGGAACAGGCGTGGAGCAGCTCCTCCTACCCTTCCCACAGCCCCTCCCCTGCAGGAGTGGGCACTCACCTCGGCACTCATAGGAGCCCTCCGTGTTCACGCAGAATTGGTCGGCTCCACAGTTGGCTCGCTCTGTGCCACACTCGTCGATATCTACAGAAAGGCCGGCAAGATGGGGAATTTCAGTCAGTTCACTAACAGGGAAGCTGAGCCCAGAACTGTTGCAGAATGGAGTTGCCAGGCTCATATGGTGTGGTAGCAACGGCAGGCTGTCCACCAACACAGAAGGAGAGGTGCAGCTGGACTCTAGGCTGCCCAGGCAGAGAGTACATTTGCCAATCTGCCTTGCTACTCAGTATGGCCTTGTGGTTGAGTTCTGGCCAACAGGATGTAAACAGAAGTGATGTGCTCCACTTTCAGCTTGGCTTTAAAACAACAGGCTTGGACTCATCCATGCACTCTCTTCTCTTTCTTACTTCCTGAGTGCCAGGGCATGGAACACAGAAGTGCCTGGGAATGAGCCTCAACCACAAAGGCAACACCCAATGGGATGACTGCACAGTAAGAAAGAAGGAATCTGGGTGCTTGAATGATTGTGACAAAAAGAGCTTCCCTGACAGCCTGGACTGCTTGTTCTGAGACTGTGATTTAAGATAAAAATAAACCTCTCTATTCTTTAAGCCATAATCTTTGGGGATCTTTTTGTCACAGTATCTTAGTCATTACTCTCACTTATACAAATGGCTAGGTTTGAGACAGACCAAGTCTCAAACCCAGGTCTCCTGACCCAAGTTCAATATCCTCATTCCTCTGGCTAACCCTTTCTCAATTGAACAGACTTGGTCTAAATCAGTGGATCTCAACCTTCTGGCCCTTTATTTATTTATTTTTTAAATATATTTTATTGATTTTTTACAGAGATGGTGAAGCTTATCTGCATTTTCTTAAAGGCCTAAATCCCACCACTTGCTCTCCTTGCTAACAGCTCCTCCTACATTTCCTGGAAAGAAATCCCAAGACCCAGGTCTCCCTTTCACCTTGGCCACTTACTCTTGTCAATAGCTTTGTTTCCCATCCCAGGATCGGGCAGAGGAGAGAGAAGCCTGCAATGGGTGGGACACAGCTGAGTCCCTACCACGTCTGCTGCATTGACCTAATGGGCTAGAACAGTGGTTCTCAACCTTCTGGCCCTTTAAATACAGTTCCTCATGTTGTGACCCAACCATAAAATTATTTCGTTGCTACTTCATCACTGTAATGTTGCTACTGTTATGAATCGTCATGTAAATATCTGATATGCAGGATGGTCTTAGGCGACCCCTGTGAAAGGGTCGTTCGACCGCCAAAGGGGTCGCGACCCACAGGTTGAGAACCGCTGGTCTAAATGGTATCTCCTCTAAGAAGCCTTTCCTGATTCCTTACCATCACCCAGCTGGATCAGGGACATCTCTCATTGTACAAAGATCAGTCTGTACTGTAAGTGCCTGGTACTTTTCTGCCTTCCCAACCAGGCTGAGATCTCCATAAAGATGGGAACTGTATTGGTCTAGCCCAGAGATGTGGGTATTGACGGAGAACCAAGCCCAGGCCCATCTACCTCCCAGACCTAAGGCACAGCCCCACTCACCTACACACTTGAGGTGATGCAGGGCCCAGCCCCTCTTGCACTGTAAACAGTTTGATTCCTCAGGTCCTGAGCAGCGGGCACAGGGGCCAAAGCAAGCTGGGGGGAATGGCGGAAGTAAGAGAATGAGCAGGCAGGCATCCCATCAGCCCCTGCCCAGCGCCTCACCTTTTGGCTACCTACCCGAACATACCAGATGGCTGGCGTTGCGCTCCACCTCAAAGTAGCCGAGGCTGCATTGGCCACAGGCCTCACCCCCATAGCCGGCTTGGCAGTCACAGTGCCCGCTGCCCCCTCGAGTCCCTTCCCCTTCACAATGCCCGTAGCCACCGCAGGGCTTCTCTGTACCCCCAGGACAGGCTGTGGGCAGACACCAAACCAGGTGAGATTGTAAAAGCAATCTTGTATATAGAAAACATTAACATTTTTTGAAAGAAAACTTAATAGTAACATAATATGTTGTCATAAAACTGTATGAAATTTACTTAACCACTACTCCACTATGGAACAATTAGGTTATTTACAAATCTTTTCTTTTATAAACACTGACTTGATCATCTTTGTCACTGACTCTTTATCTGCAGCTTCTGGGGAAAGAGTTTTCTAAAAGGGGCTGGTAATAAATTTAGCTCCTGAATCAGAACTGTGTGTAGAAAAAGGTGGTGACAATGGGGGCATCAAGACAGCACCTGCCAACTGTAGGAAGGTCCCCTTAGTCCAAGGGATGGGGCCTGGTCTGACCCCAGGCATGGGAAATGAGGGGTGGAGGTGGAAGCATTTCTCAAATACAAGATAAAACCACGGCAGCATCTGACTCAATCTAACCACACAGACATCTTTTTACAGAGCCATTCCCCATTGATTTGCTCATCTCGTCAGCCCTGTGAGGCAAGTAAGAACTAAGGTCCAGAGAAGTTATCTGAGCAGCCTAAGTGCACACAGCCAGCTAGGGGCAGAGCCAGGATCAGAGTCCTGGCCTCAGCAGTCCCTTCCCATCCCTTAAGAAGAACTTGAATAACTCACGAAGGCAGGAGGGCCCGAAGGTGCCTGAGGGGCAGCAGAGCTTCAGGGAATCTGAGCAGAGCCACTGGAAGAGGTCTGGGGCTTCCTGCTGCCTGAGGTGGGAAGGTGGTGTGACAGTGAGGGGGCCTTAGACAGTGTCAGAGATGCTGCCCATCCCCCAACCTCCCACCGAATCTCTGATACAACCCAACGCATAAGACCCCTAAGACCACCTGACCAACGCCCTTTCCTCATTTGGCAGAGGGGCAAACTGAAGCTCAGAGTGAGAGCTCCTTCAGCAAGTCCTTAGCAGATCTGGGTTTGGAAGGAGCCAAACAAGGACACAGCCCCTAGCATGCAATCCCCTGCTTTACTACTTGGCCCTGCCTGTGGCCCCTCCCTGGGAAAGCTCCCACACCACTCACTTGTGAAACCACCAACTCTCCACCAGCTCCTCGCTCAGCTCCAACAGGCGATGGCACTCGAAGTCCGACTTGCTGCACACGTTCTCCAGCACCTCTACCAGGCGGGTCTCACTGGCCAGATAGGGCAGAGTAGTGTGAACACATTCCACGACACCCACCAGCCTCCTTAAGGTCTCTCCCACCACGCCTCACGCCATGACAGGGTCAAAGGAAAGGGCATAGGGCATAATGGAAGGGATACTGGTTTGAGTCAGACAGACCTGAGTTTGAATCTAGTTGTATGACCTTGGGCAAGTCAATCTCTCTTGAACCTGTTCTCTCTTCTGTAAAATGGGGACACCACCTCCCCTACAGGTTTGCTGTACGATACCTTAGTTCCTGCCTCTGCACAATGGAATATATACTCTTGCTGGGTAGATGTAAGTAAAAATATATCATATAGCAAGTGTTGGTGAGGAAGTGGAGAAACTGGAACCCTCCTACATTATAGGTGAGAATGAAAAATGGTGCAGACACTGTGGAAAACAGTTTGGCAATTCCTTGATAAGTTAAACATGGAATCATCATAGGACTCAGTAATTGCACTTCTGGATTTGCACCCAAAAGAATGGAAACAGGTGTTCAAACAAAAACGTGTACACAAATGTTCATTGCAATGGTATCCGCAATAGCCAAAAGATAGAAACAACCCAAATGTTCATCAAATGATGAATGGATACACCAAATGTGGTATATTCATACAACAGAATATTATTAAGCCTTAAAAAGGAATGAAATATTAATATATGCTACAATATAGATAAACCTTAAAATTTTTGATAAGTGAAAGAAACCAGACATAAAAGGCTACATATTATAGGATTCCAATAGAATTAGAAATCCATAGAGACAGAAAGCAAATTAGTGATTGTCAAGGACTGAGGGGAGAATGAGAAGTGACTGCTTAATGGATATGGAGTTTCTTTTTGGGATGATGAAAATGTACTGGAACTAGTGGTAATACTTGCACAACACCGTGAATGTACAAAATATCTCTAATGGTAAATGTTATGTGTTGTATATCTACCTCAATAAAAAATTAAATATACATAAACACACACATATAATGGATTATATCTTTAAAGAGTCTGACACAGTGACTGGCATATAGGAGGAGGTGGTTTTTAAAAACTGCAAAAGCCCTGGCCAGTGTTGCTCAGCAGATAGAGTGTCAGCCCGCACACCGAAGGGCTGCGGGTTCGATTTCTAGTCATGGGCATGTACCTGGGTTACTTCACCTTCTACCACTCCATTCCAGCCACTTCTCAAATACTCCAAGCTCAGTCTCACTCTGTCCACTTCTCTTCCCTGATTGTCACATAGCTTGCTTTTTCACTTCAGGTCTCTGTTCAAATGTCACACCTTGGACACCATGCTTCTTTCTCACCATTCTGTAGTCCACCCTGTTTTACTGTTATTCACCTTATGTGACATTATTTATTGCCTTATTCACCACCTATCTCCTCTACAAGAATGTAAGCTATTTGAAGATGGGATTTGGCTTGCCTTGTTTACTGCTGTACTATAGATATTCAGTGATTATTTGTTGAATGAGTAAGCATTCCCCAAAAGGCTCTAGGTCCCCACTCGTAGAACAGAGACTGGGAGGTGAGCTATACAAACCCAGCTTTCCAGCCCTTACCTGTCTTTGTATTTGGACAACTTCTCTTCTTCCCAGGCAGTATTTCCACCTCCAAAGTTGTCCCGGTTGGTTCTCTCCAGGCCCTGGAAATGGAGAAAATTAGTAATACCTAAGTACGGATGTCCAGTGCCTGGCGCATTCTAGCACTACAGTCTTTCACTGACCAGGGAACAGGCACAGAGGCCACACAACTAGTTAAGTAACCAAGTTGGGACTTGAATCCATACAGACTTGCATCCCAGCTCTCCCCACTCTCGGCCACTTGCTATAGCCGCCGGGCCCCTCCCACCGGGCTGCGGGGCACTCACCTTGTTGAAGCTGTCGACCAGTCCCCGACATGTATGACACGGATGGGGCTCGGTTGGGGGCGAAGACTGGGGAGGCGGAGAGGGCTGGAGCCAAACTGGGCCTGGGAGGCTGCAGAAGAGGCTCAGGCCCCAGACCAGAGCTGGGACCAGGCCCCTTGGGGGTCGCGGGGCCATCCTTTCCCAGGCCGGGGACCTACAGATGGAAGACATGGGTAGGGTGCGCTGGAGGAGCCAGGTGAGAAAGGCAGAGTCGGTGCTGAGATGCCAGGGGTCTGGGAGCCCAGATCTGATACACCAAAAAGGGAGGCTGGACTGGGATTCGGGCGAGAGAGGGTATGGTGGGGAAATGAGCCGAAATAAGTTATCCTCGTTACCGTTGGGGAGGTAGCCTGCACCCTTGGCAAGGAAGCAAAAGTCAGCCCATTGTTTTAGGGTCTGAATGTAGGTTTATTAGGGGCAGGATCAGTGGAATTAGGTAGAGGGGGTCAGATTCCAAGTATTGGGGGAGAAGAAGCCGGATGAACGATTTGCGTGGATAGGAAGAGAAGGGGTCAGGTTCAGGGCCCGCAGGCCGCCAAAGCACGGCCCGCGAGCCGGCAGGGGAGGATCCAGATCCCTGAGATTGTGGGGGAGGAAGAGACGACGCACCCAGCCTGCCGCAGGCGCAGACCGCTGTCTCCTCGGCGCCACCTCCTCTGCCGCCTGCGTCAGACGTGCCACCTCCGCCAACCCCGCAGCCCGGAGGGCGGAGCCCACGCCGCAGCCAATGGTGACGAGCCATGTGCCGTTGCGTCATCCCGCCCCAGCCAACCAGAGGTGGCGCCGGGCTGCACCTGTCGGGCAGTTAAAGGGCCGCGGGGAGCCGGACCGCGGGCTGCGTGCCAGGCTAGCGCCGCGCTGTCAGAGACACACATTAGAAGAGACTTGGATAGAAAAATAGCGTCTGCCTTTATTCAAGTCCTGTCCCCCGCCTCGGGTGCCATCTCGAGTCCTGTCTCCTGGGCCCCCGGGGGCAGGAGGCAGCTGTCCAGGGCGGGCTGAAGGGCTCGAGACACTCGCTCCGCCCTGTTCGAGAGCCACCCGGGG